CGGAACTGGGCGCCCGCGCCTGCGCACTGCAAGGTTCCCGGTCGCTCCCCCGCGACCTCCGCGTGTGGCACTGGGGCGAGCGGCCACGTTCTCAGGCCGGAGACCGGCGGAGCGCACTGAAGTGGCGTACGCGGCCCTGGGGGTCTGGAGGCGCGAGGGAGGGGCGTTGCGGGGAACCGATGCGGGGACGCGGTGGAGCGGGACAGAGGCGAAGGGGAGGGGCAGGCGGAGGGCGGGTCACTCTGGTGCAGAGTCCTGGCGGAGGCGCGGAAGCCACCGGGAGGACGCGGCTAGGGGAGGCGTGGAGGAGAGGGCTGGCAGAGAGAAACTGGGATGACCTGGCGTGGGGTCACCGGGCCGCCAGAAGACCACTGGAAGGATCCACGCGCTCAGGGAGAGGATGCGCCCTGAGTCTTCGTGGGCATCTGCGCTGCAACCGCGGGAAACCATCCGGCCCTCTCGTGAGCGCGGGCAGTGCAGAGTTCTGTGGACTCCTAGGTATTTTCACCGGACTCACCTCAGTTGTCTCACAAAACGAAAGCAAGCAAAAACTTCAACAATCAAGATAAATATTTCAGTGTAATTTTAAGAATTTTAAGAAATCAAGAGAAATGCAAAAAAAAGTGTTCATAATGAACAAAAGTTTAAAATTCCAAATGCGGGATCCAGCCCCATTCACGTTATCATCTCTTGCCACTCAAATCCAGTCCTGGAAGCTTCACTTACAAAAACCTGTAATCTGTCATCTGATATATTTTTTAAATGTTTATTTTTTAGTTGTATTAATAAATATTTTTATTTCATTTGTTTATTTTTATGTGGTGCTGAGGATCCAACCCAGGGCCTCGAACAGCTTGCTAGGCAAGCGCCCTACCGCTGAGCCACAGCCTCTGTTATCTGATATTTTAAAAATTTGCATTAAAATAATTTTTTCATTGCTTGACTATTGAGATACAAGGGGTGGAAGTGGAAGGGCCAATAATAGGAAGGCAGTGTAGGATTAGGGATTATGTCATGGCTTGATCCTCCTGTGAAGGAGGAAGTAAAGTCCTCTGAAATCCAGTCCTTAAGACCTAGGGCAGAGTCCTCCCCTGCAGGGTGAAGTTGACCTTTGAGTAGGCAATGCCTTCTGAAGTAGACCTTATAAGGTGACCTTATGATGCATCCTGCCACCTTCAACCCTCCCAGATGGAGAGGAAGTGGCCATCTCAGCCCAAACCTAAGTTTCCTCTCTTTCCCACTTTCCAGAAAACACTTGCTGTGGAGGGCCAGGGAATGAGGCACTGGCCACAGACTCTTGCCTTCATCAACCTGGAGTCTGCCCTGAATTCTCAGCCAGTATGCACTAGGCCTGGAGTGCATGGGAGAACAGCTCCAGAATAGGTGATTCATAAAACAGGCTCTCCATGTTGTTACACTTCTAGAACTTAGTTGGGGAATTAATCTGAAAACAGTTATCCCCTAACAAAAATGTCAGGCTTTAAAAAAAAAAAGTCACCCAGACAACCATAGTAATATACATAGCCAGCATTCTTCAGTAGCATAAGAATACACAGAAAATGTCCAGGATTTTTAGAAAGTATTGGAAGTGAAGGAAGTTTCTCTGAAAAGGCAAGGATGCCCCAGGTGCATGGGGAGGACCACATTGCTTAGGGGTGGGTGCACCCAGCACAGCAGCTGGAATAAAAGCCCATCCTGCCCTCAGGACAAGGGCATTTGGTGAAGGTGTGGCTGACCTCAGACAAAATCTGACCCTCAGGGAGTAGGGTCAGTAGGCTTAGCAGCTGACAGGTATGAATTCAGAAGGGAGCTCTTCTGAGGAAACCCAGACAGGATTACCTCAAGGGCAGACTTCTTAGGTGTCTGCCACCTCAGCAAAGTGGAAGCCCAAAAGGACACAGGAATGCTGGAAGCCAAAAGCCGCTCCCTGACTTGCAGCCTGACCCTGGGTCATCTGATCCTTCCCAATGCATTTCTTTCCCCATAACTCAAGCTCACTGTGTGACAGAACAATGCCTGGCAGAGGGATCAGTGAGGCATGCACCAGCAACTTAGTGAGACCCTGTCTCAAAATAAAAAGTCCTTGGGATGGGCTCAGAGGTTAAGCACCGCTGGGTTCAATCTTTAGTACCAAAAACCAAACAAACAAACAAACAAAAAAACAAACCAAACAAACAAACAAAAAAGACAATTCTTACATTTTCCAATGGTATATAGTTGTATTCTATTTATTCTATTTTATTCAATAAAAAAATGTTGAATCTTTGGTAAGTAACTTAGCATCACAGTTTTGTTTTTTTTTTTGGGGGGGGGGATGCCTAGGGCCTTGTGCATGCAAGGCAAGTACTCTACCAACTGAGCTCTATCCCCAGCCCAGCATCATAAAATATTAAAACTTTATTTCCAAGGTACCCTTTCTCCCTCTAATCCAATTGCCTTGCTGTCACAACTTTATTTTCTTGACATCTTGAAAACCATAAAGCTACATTTTAAAATATGATAATCCTAAAATGAGGAGAAATCAATGTAGTATTAATTCTAGAATCATATACCTAATTTATTGGATAGTCCCATTGCAAATGTAATGTCAAACCATGGGTTTTAAATTGTTTTTGATTTTCTTTTTAATTGATTCATTTAGAATCTCTCATTCTGTCAGATTGCTCCAAATACCTACAGATTGCACACACGCACATAAACACACACACACACACACACACACACACACACACACACACACACAAGGCAATGCACCTCAGACTGGTTAGTGAAAACCTTCCTCCCCTTGGCCTCCCCTTGGACATGTGTGGAGGGAGAAGTAAGCCCAGCTCACATATGCACTGTCTAAGGCAAGAGTGTGAATGTGGCACTAACTACTGTGAATCCATCTCAGAATCATCAAGATAAGTGTTAAATTACACATGCACCTTGATATTTATGATGACATTTTTTAAATGTGCAAAGTTACGGTTTTTACATAGAATTAAGCAAAATACCAAACACCATTGAATTTGTTACTGCCCATGTTTAGGTATTAGGAAATAAATGAACATTATGATTCATAAATGAATGTACAGTTATTCCTAAAAAATTGATTACTGGTGTTGTTATGACCAATATAATAATGATCATAGAATTGGCCTCTTATTGACAGTGACAGTCTAAAGGGTTCAGCAATTATAATTGTACTCAGATCACCCAAATTTGGATATAATCTCAATTAACATGAGTTAACATTAATGTAAATGGTTGTTTGTTTGTTTTTTTTTTTTGTACTGGGGATTGAAGCCAGGGGTACTTTGACACTGAGTCACATCCCCAGCCTATTTTTTTATTTTGAGACAGGGTCTCACATAAGTTGCTTGGGGGTCTCACTAAGTTGCTAAGGCTGGATTTGAACTCATGATTCTCCGGCCTCAGCCTCCCTAGCCACTGGGATTATAGGCATGTACCACCATACCCCGCTAACGTTGATGTAAATGTAAAAATGATATTTTTATGTATTTAAAAGTTATATTCTCAAATTTTAAATTTGTCTATAAATGTTAAATGAAAATACAAATTATGAATTCATACTGAGATTTTAAATCAAAATAAAATGTTTAATGAATTCTTAAAAATAAAAACACATTACCTATTTTACACATGCTCATCTGTGTGTCCAGCCCAATATTCAGACACCTGATTGCATATCTGAAGTCAGGATGTATGTTGCTGGTCCTGAACAGCAGCACTCTGGCTATCCTGGGGTGGCTAGCAGGCCTTGGAAGGACCATGTGAACAAGATACTGTCTTTCTAGTCTGTTTTAGAAAGCCTGAAATCTTCCTCTGGCTTCTCTGTAGTCACCATGCCACCTGCCAGCCAGCCACTCCCACCCCCAAATCGAGTTCCTTGAAGGGCAGTTCCCAGGGCTGTGGGCTGGCCTAAAGGAGCAGAGCAGTGTGTCCCCCTCCACCAGGTAAGCGCTGGGAACACCCAGCAGGTAGTCAGAGTTAAGAGGTGTCCAGGATTTTGGGGAAAAGGCAGGAGGTGACTGCTCAAGGGGCAGGGGGGATGTGGAATAAGACTGGCACTGCAGACTCAAAGCTGGCTGATCCCCCTTGACCAGATGGGATAACCTTTGAGGTCACCTTAGGATGGGTGCCACTTCTCTCTCCTTCAACCCCTCTTCCTCAAGCTGTGAACACCAGATTAGCAGCACTAGCTGGTAGGCAGAAGATGGAGCCCCCAGACAACTCCCAGCAGCCCCTCTGCCAGTCTCCAGGCTTCAGGCACTTCTTAGTAAGTGGTCAGAGCAGGTCAGACAGGTTTCCTTCTGTCCCAGGAGAGTAGGTGGCTGTGCCAGCCTCTAGTGTGCTGAATGGTGCCTCGGGCACATGCGCCCTCTAAGGTTGGCTGAGCGAGTCGCCTCTTCCCTCTCCTGGGAGGGATACCAGGCAGGCACAGGCTTTTGTTAGGTTGGGGTTCTACATTGGCAACAAACCTCTGCCCCTGTCTTTGCCATTGCTTTTCTCCTTTCTCCACCCCCCCCCACCCAGTTTCCCAGAGCTGGAGAGCAGGGGTAGGAGGGTGGCAGCAGCAGGGCTCCTGCCTAAGCTAGTGCTCTGCTGCACTCTGGCTGGGCTGTCTTCTGGGGAACCCCGGCATCCCACTCAGGGTGCCTCCCATGCCTTTCTCAGCCACCAGGAAGCCTGTTTTGACCTTCAGCATCTGGTATGCTCCCACCCTCCTGGTGTCTGTGCCACCCACCACAGCCCCGCCCACTGCAGCACCCTACTCCTTGTCCTGACCCTCTGCGAGGTCAGGCTGAGCCCAGCACAGCCGCCTCCACCTCTGCACACAGCCTTTGGCCACCTCAGAGAAGGGGTGCCCGGCTGCTGTACCCACACCCCATGCAGAGCAGGCTTCCTGAGGTCAGCTGCTACAGATGGACTGCAGTCCCCAGTGTGTGGCCTGTTGCCTCCAGAGGCTCCTGAGCCTCTTTGTGGCAAGGGATTTGCCTTCTATTTGGCAGGAGGTCCCCTGCAGCTTCCGTGGCACCTCAACACTGTCTTAGTGGGGCAAGCTCCTCTCTCCACCTCCAGGGCTGCAGCCTGCTGGTCACTTCATGCTCATCCTGCTGGGTCAGTGGATGCCTTCATCCTAACAGTCCCTTGTTTGGAGGAGGGTGAGGACTCTGAAACTAGGGGACACTTGTGAGAGGATGAGTTATACCCCCTTGAAGGTCTTCTGTTGAAGACACTGGACACTGGGAGAAGAGTATCTGCAAGCTGAAGGGGAGGCCTCTGCAGAAGCAGCCCTGCCCCACCTGGGCCCTGGCCTCAGCCTCAGGCTGGGACTAAACAGGTGTCTCCATGACACTTGTTGCCATCACCAGGCACCCAGGAAAACACCACCTTCACTGGACCGTTCCTAGAGAGCACCAAGAGTTGGCCAAATCAAGGACTAT